CACACGCTACTCCAAATGATGCTACTACTACAAACAGCCCCAACTTTGTGGCTAGCTGTACCATTTTGAAAACGCGTAAACGCAAGACCAGTAGTCGAAATTTCAATAATAGTTAGGAAAAGTTACGCACGCTACGCAATATTTTCAAAAAAGATATTTGACAATGTCAGCAACTCCCCGAGCAAACTGACGAATTATGCCGAATTTTAGCAACTAATAATAACAATAAAAAAAAATCGTATATTACCTTTTTCGTACAGGTGGAGGTCCTGAGCCGAATGCGCCACCCGAACATGGTCGTTCTCCTCGGCGCCTGCCCCGACTACGGCAGTCTCGTCTACGAGTACATGGAAAACGGCAGCCTCGAGGACCGTCTCTACCGCAAAAATGGGACCCCTCCCCTCCCTTGGCCCGCCCGTTTCCGAATCGCTGCTGAGATTGCCACAGCCCTCAACTTCCTCCACAAAACCCGACCCGAACCCCTCGTCCACCGCGACCTCAAGCCTGCAAACATCCTTCTCGACCGAAACTTCGTCAGCAAGATTAGCGACGTGGGCCTCTGCCGACTCGTCCCGGCCCCAGTTGCCGATAGCATAACTCAGTGCCACATGACTGCAGCTGCCGGGACCTTCTGCTACATCGACCCGGAGTATCAGCAAACGGGCATGCTCGGGACGAAATCTGATGTGTACTCGTTTGGGGTCATGCTGCTGCAGATCCTTACGGCCCGGCCAGCGATGGGCCTCTCGCACCATGTCGAGACCGCGATCGAGTCGGGCCAGTTTGCGGATGTGCTCGACCGGGCGGTTGGGGACTGGCCGGTCGAGGAGGCTCTTTCGCTGGCTAAGCTGGCTTTGAAATGCTGTGAACTGAGGAGGAGGGATAGGCCGGATCTCGACTCGGTGATCTTGACTGAGCTCGAGAGGCTGAGGGATGTGGGATTGGAAGTCTCGCGTGGGGTGAGCTTTTTCTATGCACACTCGTCGCAGGGTGATGGGAGCTCCAAGGACAGCTCGTCTTCGAGTCAGGCGAATCAGGAGAGGTTTTACTACGTCAACTCATCTTCGAGTCAGGTGAAACGAGAAGTTTCGTGTGCCATTTTCATTTCGTTTTTTTTCCTGGTTTTCAGTAGGAATGTGATGCTCTAGCAAAGCTGCTTTTTAAACAGATACACCATTTTCATCCACTTTCCCCTTTTTCACATACATCTCGTCTTAACTGGCTACCAGTTAAATTATATCCGATCATAATTTTTCATTTTCTATACTGCATTGAACGTTACATCAAGTTTACGTTCCAATTCAAATCAAACCCAATTTTCATCATGTTTCTTCCAGAAAAAGATTTATCACTATCCCCTAGCATTTAGAAAAGCTTCAAGGTGAAAACATATCCAAGATCAACTAGGGGGTTAGAGCCAGTGGCACCACTCTCAATAGTCAAGTACTTTTAACATAAAGGGTCATTTTTTCATCTTGAACCAGGAAACTACAGACAGCAGTTCTGGAAAATTTGAAGGCCAAAGAAAGAATGCATCTGGAAGTGGGTACAACACGAGTACAACACGGGAAAGCATGGATTAGGTCAAAAGACACTAATGATTAACAGCAACGAGAAATGGATGAGTGCCTTTGCTTATGCTTTTCTATGTGAGACACATAAGTCATAATGCACTTTTAACCTGAAACTATTTCTTCATGCAGACGACTTTTTTTTTTCTTTTCTTTTTTTTTTTTAATTTCAACTAAGTATGAGATTATACACTTGTAATCCATCAACTTATGTGGATACTGTGTGAATAAAAAGGATATCAATGTTTATTTCGACATTGGGGATACAATAATTCTAAACTGGTCCTTAGTAATTACTGGGATTTGTCTTTCTATTTCTTTGTCAAGCGCTTAGTTGCTCTGAGGGCATTTGACTTTGATGAGCACACAAGGAAAAATATATATATGTATAGAGAGAGAGAAACTCAAAGCAGAGAGAATCTTAAAAGAGTGGCACAATTGGTGTCAATCGCATATTACTTCTGAGGATTATGGCATGCCACTGAGTCATTATTGCTTCTAACAAAGAATACAGTGAAAGAGTACAAAAAATCAATGAGGATCAAATCTTATCTTATCCTCAATTTCTCATATCCAACTTAAGAAAGACACATGTTTTAGCTGATATATAGTCGTTACATAAATGGGTGGATGGTCTATAACCTATGAAGCTGTAACAATGGAGAAAAACAAAAAAAAAATCCACGAAAATGGAAAGAAAATGGAAAAGTTCAAAAAAGAAAACACTAATCTGATTTGAGCATTTTCAGCAGCCAATAGAGCATTCCTAAAAGGTTGGTTTCATCTGCTAATGCCATCCGTAAAATCACCCTGCAATTAGGCCTATTTGATTATCATTTGTAGAATACAGGAGCTTTCAGAAAATAAAGCTCTTGAAAATAATAATGACACGAAAAAGTGCTGATACCTCATAGCTTATACCAATGTTTTGTAACAATGCAAATAGAATTTCTATTAGCTGGTAAACTTGTCCCCGGAATGCAGTATCTATTGGACAATCTTGTTGAAAACAGCACGTATCCAACGCCTTACCATATGGGTCAGATTAATTAATTATAAACAAGTTCGTAATAACAAATAATTATAAAATAAGAGATGAGAAACGTAGACAGAAAATTTCCCTAAGACCATGCTCCAGCCTTGTCATTTACCAAGTGAAAACAACTAGACAGACAAATTGTAATATTTAAGAATCCATACCGTGCGTGTGAGAGGATATAGATTATTTTTGGTATTTCTTTATTGATTGGATAAAGTGATTTACAGAGTGGAAATAGTTGATTGGGTAGAAGAATGGACTAATTTTGAGTTTGTGAATGGATATGAGATAAAATGTAATGATTAAAGTTGATGTAATTTACCGTTCAAATGTCATATTTCGGAGGCGATTTTGGACTTATCTGCAATATGTACTCATGTCAACAGGCTTAAATCCATCTTCCGCAAACAAATTTGATAAGAAATCTTCAGAGAAATAATATGAACACTGAAAAAAAACCAATAAATCATCATAATTTAATAACACAAATAATTACCCCAACAAGCACGGCCGTAATGATACTAACAGTACCATCCCCTCTATAATAGAAATTGTCACTGATACTCTGATTTTTGTTGTTCAGCTTCACCTGATTAAAAATTTTAGCTATTAACTACGATTATGAAAAAGGAAATTGATTTATTTTCTTAAGGAAGTGTATGATCTCAGAAGTTCTACATTGATC